ATATTTAAAAAGAGAGAGAGAGAGAGAGAGAGAGAGAGAGAGAGAGAGAGAGAGAGAGAGAGAGAGAGAGAGAAAATAGCTGTTGCCTTAAACAGCAAGTCTGATTTTTGGGGCTCCAAGGAGAACCTGATGACTAAACTTATCTGCTGCCCCTTCAGAAAACCAGGCTACCTTAGGAGGAACTGTAACAAGCACTGTCACAACAAGATGGCCTCTGAGTCATGCCCTGATTGCAAAGGTGAGCACCGGAAGTTGGACAGTCCCCTGAGGGAGAGGCTGCAGGGATCAGACCCATCTGACCAGTTGGTCCAGCAAAACTGAAGGGCCTCAGGGTACTCTCTACCTTTTCCTTGCCAGATGGCAATCTCTTCCTAGGAGCCCCAGATCATCGTGATTATAGAGAGAACAGAGTTGAGCCTGTTGCTGGATACTGGCGCATGTCTCTCCGTCCTTCTTTTTAACCCTGGCCTTCCTTCTAGCTGTCATACTTCAGTGAAGAGAGCTACTAGAGAGGAGGTAACTTGCTATTTCTCACAACTCTTGTAACTGGGATGGCTTTCTCTTCACTCATTCCTTTTTAATTACACCTGAAAATCTGGTTCCCCTCCTCGGAAGAGATGTTGTGTTGTTTGAATACTGTTATCTACATGCATCCGGTTCATGTACACCGCCTCCCCTTCGTGAAGACAGAAATAAATCCAGTCAAGTAAATGTACACTAGGAAGAGAACTAAGAGCTTCCCCTGCACAAATGCATCCCAAAGGTCCTACTGCTTTTCCTCACAAGAACAATGACCTCTAAGGCCTGAAGTTAAAAGAGGACTATTGCACATAATCAACAGCTTCAGGTCATAAGTCTACTTTCACACTGTAATAGTCCTTTAGGGGCTGGTGAGATGGCTCAGTGGTCTAAAGCACCTACTTAGAACAAGCTTAGTAAAGCACAGGGACCACGGTTCAATCCCCCAGCACCACATGTCAGCCAGCCCCGCCCCCTGGTGGGCTGAACTGGCCACACACCCACAAAATAAATAAATAAACAAACAAATAAATAAATAAATTTTTTAAAAAATAGTCCTTTAAACACTCCAATTTTGGCTGTTCAGAAACCCAGTTGGGTGTGGAGGTTTGTGCAGGACCTTTGATTGGTAAATGAGGCAATAGTGCCAACTCACCCATGGTGCCTAACTCATATATTCTCCTTTCTCAGATCCTGAAAGACGTTAGTTTTCAGTGTTAGGCTTAAAAGTTGCCTTCTTTTGTACTTCTTTACATACATATTCCTAGTTTCCTAATGCCTTTGAAAGTCCTCATGACCAGGTTTCTCAACTGACTTAGACTGTGCTTACTCAAGAGTTTAGAGACAGCCCCCATCTTTTGGACAAGTGCCTTCCCACAGCTTGGCATGTTATGAATTTTCCCATGTCACATTCCTGCAACATGTAGACAACGTATTGTTATTTGTCCCCTCACCAAAGCTCTCTAGCAGGGTACCCGTGCTCTGTTGAATTTTCTAACAGAGGTTATAAGGTCTCTAGGTTCTAGGTCTATTTTGTAGCCTTGTGGTACAATGCTTGGGTCCTATCATATCTAAGGGAATCTGAAGGCTAGGGGAAGAGAGAATTCAACCAGTATTTCCTTCCTGAAGCCTAAGACCCTAAAAAAGTTAAGGGGTGCCTAGTATCACGGCTACTCTACTGTCGTTTTTGAACTCTACTTTAAAAGGCACTTAAACTGCAGATGAGCTTACTCCTCACTCTCTCCCATTTAGTTAACCATAAAATCCACAAAGGAAGAACAAGTTGTTAACTTAGAGAACAAACAGAACAAGCTACGGTGGGTTAAGCTGCAATTTAACCACATCCTCCTTGACTACAAATCCCTAGAAAATGTTAACCTTGTGATAGTCTTGTAAAATTCCAAAATGAAGTAATATGATTACCATGATTACCTGCAAATGTATAAAAACTCAGTTCTCTGGGGGTTGACATTTTCTGACTCCCTGTTGGAGTGTCATCCACTGACACCAGCTAAATAAAGCTTGCTTGTATTCATTCTCAACCATTGTGAGTGTTTTCTTTCTAATTCTGCCATAACACTAGGAATTAGAGTTGCCTTTGGATAGCAGAGTATGATAAGATTGCATGGTCCCATAATCAGTTTATAAAGGAAGCTCAAAGGGCAGATATGCATATTTTAACCTGGGAACTTGATTCCCAAATTGTATCCCAGAAGCTTGAAAAAAGCGCTTCTAAATGCACCGCTAGAACTACCCACAGGACACTATTTCAACCTTTATGTTGATGAAAGGTGGGACATGGCTTTGATAGTGCTCTGCAGGATAAAGGGCCCGCTCAACAGCCTGCAGCATATCTGAGGTATGAATTAGACATTGTAGCACAGGGATGGTCTGTGTGCCTTAGAGCCTTGAGTGCTACAGCTCTTCTAGTACCAGAGGCATCCCAGTGGCTTTAGGCAAAGACTTCACCGTATGGACATCTCCCAGTGTGACAGGGCTTCTTTCTTCCCAAGGGAGCCTGTGGCTGTCAGATAACTAACTTCTTAAATACCGGGCTGTACTTCTAGAAGGACAGGCCATTCAAGTAAAGATATATTCCTCCCTCAACCCTGCCACCTTTCCGCCAGAGAAAGAAGAAATAGAAAGACATGACCGCAAACCAGTAATTCTAGGGCTGGGGAGATGGCTCAGTAGAATAAGCACTTACCCGGCAAAGAAAAAAAAACAGTAATTCTCTCTCTACATATATAGCCAGAGACTTGTTAGACACACCCCTTGTGGCCCCTGATTTAGCCCTCATCTATGATGGCAGCTCTTTCATGGAAAATGGGACAAAAAAGGCATCAGACCATCAGAAGCTTCTCACTTGCCTCTAGAACCCACAGTTCTGACAAGGCCTTTGCAACTCAGTGGAGGACAGAAAGTCAATATACTGATTCAGAGCAAGTCTCCCAAATTACAATAAAGAGCTAAGAGTTACTATTTTCTTTTTAATGTATTTGGTACAGGGTCTCACTATGCAGCTTGGACTCATAGTGATCCTCCTGCTTCCAGCCTCCCCAGCACTGGGATTACAGGCATGCGCCACCACACCCCAACTCAGTCGCCAGCTCCACGTGTCCCAGGGGTGGGGTCAGCACAGCATGGGACTGGGGATTGAACCCCAGTCCCTATGTTTGCCTAAGCAGGGGTTTAGTCTGCTGAGCTATCTCGCCTGCCCAAGAGTTACTATTTTTTGTTTATTAGAAAAATAAGTTTCTAGAGCTGGGGGGAGATAGCTCAGTAGATTAAGTGCTTACCTGGCAAGCGCAAGCACCTGAGTTCAATCCCTGGTTCCGCAAATAAATAAATAAAATAAAAATAAGTTTCTAGGTTCTTTGAATGCTGGCTTTCCTTTGTCATTCCTACCCATGGCAGCTACAGAACAAAACAAACACTCCAAATACTTTACATGTTAAGTACATGTTACATAGAGTTTTACATGTTAGCTCTCTTCTCGGTAGAGAATTGCCATATCTCACGGCTCAACGTGTATTCTATAGACCAGCGACAGTATATGGACATGCAATCTTAATTTACTATGCAGCAAGAATGATTCAAGAAGAAAATACCATACAGTGTCTTGTAGAGGCAATTGCTCGTTACTCTACTTTTAATACTTGTACTTGGGCAAATGCTTGTGTATGTATAGAAATAACAATGCAAGTTGCTGCTAGATCAGGTACAAAGTGCATGTCACCTCTACAGACTCTAGTAAAATCCCTATGAAGTAAGAGGAAGCGCCCTGTCATAAGAATAAGCACAGGTATAAAGATGGCTACATTCAGATATGGAATGATTATGTGTGGCTAACTCCAGCTACAGGACAGCTTAGTAGAAGTGCCCCCCAGTGTTGGTTGCTTTGTTTGTTTTGGTTTTGGTCTTTATTTTATTTTGATTGTTTTGTATTTTTTCATTGAGTTGTTGTCCCCTAATGTTGGGAACAAAAAAAAAACCACTCCTATACTCGTTGGCCTAACTCTACTAAAATACTTGGAGTACACTCCCCTTAGCAGTGTGTACACATCATAACTTTACAGGTTGAAGACTGGCTTGCAATGAGCCAGTTTAATTACCCTGGAATTAAATAGCAAGCCCCCATGGCACTCATTGGTCAAACAAATTTGTGGCCCTGGCTGCCCTCTGATGGATGGGGAGAGGCATGCTGGAATTTGTACAATTCCAAAGCAAACGTGTCTTGACTAATTGCACACTTACCCCATCTACATGGATGGTCTAGAAGCATGTTTCACTGGTATGATCACTTGGCTTCTATCCTTATGCTTTCCCTAGGATTAAAGGATATTATGCAACGCCTGCAGGTCTTGGCTAACTATACTCAATGGGCCTTAAAAGACAACTCAACTGGTCTCACTCTCCTAAATGAAGTAAAATGAATGAGGCAAGCCATCCTCCAAAACTGGATGGCCCTAGACATTGTAACAACCGCACAAGGAGGCACTTGTGCAATTGTACAGGCTGCGTGTTGTCCATTCCTGACCCTTCTGCTAATATCTCAATGGCTGTTCAAGATA